TATGTATATATATATATGTATATGTATATATATATATGTATGTATATATATATATGTATATGTATATATATATATGTATGTATATATATATATGTATATATATATATGTATGTATATATATATATGTATGTATATATATATATGTATATATATATATATATAAATAATCTCATTCATTCATTCATTCATTCATGAAAATTGTACTCTGTTCAAATCTCGGTCACAATTCTTAAAGGGGCACTCACATTTTACAGATGAGTTCCAGCTCACTCATCAGAAGGAGTCCTATTCGCCCGTGAAAACCTCCGCATGATTTCTTCTGTGGCTCTGGAGGAGTTTTGTCAAGCCTGAAAATATAACCCTGATGACGTCACAGTGATGTCATCATGTTTATTTCGGCTCAGGCTTGGGGGCTGTAAATCTATGACAGAAAGCCTGCATTACAAACTGGAGGTGTGGAGAGAAAGATGCGTGTTCATCGAGCATGGAGGGTCTAATGAAAGATGCTATCCAGTTGCATTGTAGGACACAACAACTTTAACAATTTTAGGTATCCTGATAAAAATGTGTTTATCTTAAGAAAGAAATACTGGAGGATGTATTGTTAACAGATTTTCTTTCCGCTATTGATGTCCGTATTGGCCCGTACGTAAGTAGAATTGCTGCTGTCAAAAGCCACTGACAATTACTTCGTGGTTCTTGCTTTTTTTTTTTTTTTTTTTTTTTTTAACATCTGGAGCAGCTCCTCCATTTGCCTCAATCATCGAATTAAAAATTGACCGCATTCATTTAGGTGAGCCAGTTTCAGTCGCCTGGTATTGTGAATGCTGGCTCACTGGAGCATTTGCTGGAACTGAGCCACTGTTTGTTACCCGGCATAAGCCGGCTTTTTGCCGTATTATGTGTAGTTGTCCGGCAGATTCAATTATCAATGGCCAAAGTGTCTGTTGGGAAATATGCCAAATATATAAATGATTTAATTAATGGCGTATAAAATAGCCTAACTGGATGCTCGCCAAGATGCAGTGTCGACAGCATGGGCATGGCGGGTTAAAATTCATCATGGCGTGTAAAAGGGTCATTGGGGAATTTTGGGGAAATTATCCCGACTGGGCAAATTCACCAGTTAGGTGCCTGCCTTTGTGTGCGGCAGACTGGAGAGCAAACCGTTGTTTATGAAAGGCTAAACACCAACAAATATGGATTAAAGCGGAATATTTCGTTAGATACAAAAACATGTGAATTTTAGAAATGGTTACATCTATCTCTTCTCAATAAATTGAACAACGCTCTGATGTCATTGGACATGTTTGGATCACACGAGTCAGAGACGATCATAAACAGCCACCACTATCTAAATCCACAAATACTATTATACTAGTAATATTACTGTGTCCTGATCTTTATCTGCAACCATGTGGAAGTACCAGCTTTAAACACAATGAGTACACATGCAAAGAAACAACTGTGCAAGAGGTTTTGAATGTCTTAAGAGTTCATTTTGTTGTTGTTGTTGCAGGAACTTGGATCATACCGTTTGTCTGTTTGTATTTTATTGCTGTTTAAATGTTGGCTATTTAAAACATGTCTGGTAGTTGTTCTATACGGCCAGAACTCTGACATGTTAACGGCTATTTAAATTAAATCCTGAACTGAGCCATCGTGTTGATGAAATGTTCCTTCTGTGCTTTTCCTGCCATGGCCGGTCCCAATGTCTGCAGTTTACAGTAGATGTGTGGCTGCAGTATGTGGATCTGGGAACACGGCAAGTGTCACTCAAGCTGACTAATCAGAACAACGTCTGAACTTGCTGGTTGTTCATTGAAGTACACTTTATTTTCTGTATGAGACAACAACAACAAATCAACATGCAAGTCTCCCTATCTCTACATCATGTTATACAAATAATGATTCTTTAGTTACAAAATATATAAATATTTAAGACCATATGTACAGAACATTTACATTACTACATCCATTACTTTAATAAGTTTATTACTATATATACATTTAACAGGTATTATTCTTTAATATTCTCATTATTATTTGCATTGTTATTATTATTGTTAGCATTATTATTATTATTATGATTATTATTATAATTCTTAATCATCTAAGGGTAACTCTCAAAAAACAAAGCATGTTGCAGAAGAGAAAACGGGACCATACCTGACGTTACTGTGCCTGAATGGTGGAGGAGCAGAGGCCGTCCGGCGCTCTGTCCTCGGTGAAGCGTGGAGAGCTGGCTATGTAGAGCACGAAGTTCAACAGACTATCTGTACAAGGTGACAACAGGGCTGGCGAGCCCACACTATATTCCAGCAGCATTTGGATTCCACTGAGGTAAACAATGACATAGCTTGGAATCTAGCACGTAACTTTCACTACCCTGACACAATTTCTGGTTTGTCCACATAGAACACGTTTTACCGCAAGGGGGGGGCTTGATCTCTGAGCCGCAACGTGAACCGTCAGATCGTTGCAGTTTGACCGGTTTTACTTTCCCTTTTCTTTTTTTTTTTTTTTCAAACGGTAAAGGAGTTGTCTCGTAACATGGACTCACGCGCACACACACATACATTGTGTCAATTTACCTTGACCACGGTATATTTAGTAGTCGCATTCATCAGCGCGTCCTGGTACCATCAGAGGAGTTGATCTCTTTCATTGTAAACATTTCTGTTGTGTAAGCCAGCTGAGCTTCCTCTTAGGATTAGATCATTCTGTGTAGGTGTACACAAACACTACCCGGTGTAGAGTTGTGTAGGCTCACAAGCACACAAAAAAATAGGCCTTTTCTCTCTTCAACCCCAACACACACACACACACACACACACACACACACACACACACACACACAAACTATTCACTGTCAACTGTCTCACTCTCACCTTCCCACTCCCTCTGTTCCACCTCTTTGTTGCTTTAACCGTCTCCTTACCTCTCTCTCATCTCTTTCACTCTCCTGCTCATCCCTCACCCTTTCTTTTGCTCTATATCTAAGAAATGATGCAGTTTTTGCTCTTCCTCCTTTGGCGGTTGTGCAGCTGGCCATGAATCGGTCCGTGCAGAGGTCCGTGGTGGGCAGCTATCCCAGAGGGGCTGTAGCGATGGCGCAGCTCCTCGTTGTTGATGTAGCAAAGCTGCACAGGCCGCGGGATTGGCTCACCCAGGAAATAACCCTCATCCGCCTCTGACTCGGAGGACGAGGAGCAGCTGGAGCACCAGGGGTCAGCGGCCTCCGTGTGTCTGTCGCCCCAGCATTGCCCACCCAGCCCCACAGGTTGCCAGCCAGCGTTCTGCAGGGTGAGATCAGAAGTGGTGCGGGGGCAAGGTCGTTGGGGCTGCTGCCTGTACCCGCCTGGGTCGAGACCAAACAACTCCCGAGCTGCGTTCCCGGCGGGGAAGCGATCGTAATCCTCCTGGACGCGGCGGTAGGGCGGCTCTACCATTTGAGCGGGCCGGTCCGCCACCAGGTGCAAGGCGTTGTCAGAGCGAGAGCGGCGAGAGCGTTTGTGGTGGCGGCCGCTGCGGTGCTGCCCATTACCGTGGTTTCCACGGTGGTGTTTGCGGCGTCTCGGTTGCGGTTGCTGCGACGCCACGGGTTCCTGCCCGTTGATGCGCCGGCGGGGCATCCTGTCGCTCATGGGAGCCATCCGCAGGTTTCCACTGCTGCCCATCACACCGACGCGACCTTTGCCGTCGAAGCCCAGCGGCTGCGGGCCGTCCCAGTACTGCAGCGGGTAGCCAACTCCCAGCGGAGTGTACGCGTTGTTGTAGGGGCGAGAGGAGGACAGCGACTCTGTGCTGTGGAACTGGACCGAGGAGCTGAAGGTGCCCATGTTGCTCTTTTCAGACACATTCACACCGGAATCTTTACTCAGGTCGGGCATGGAGAACCGAGACAGATGCTCCTGACGCTTGCTGACCCCGTCCAGAGAGTTACCCGCTAGAAACAGAAATCACATGTCACATTTTCATACCATTTGGCATTATATCTTATTGCACCGTACTAGGGCTGCCCCCTCTTAGTCGATTTCAACATATTGGTTGTTTTTGTCGTAGGCGACTAACATTTCTTTAGTTGATTAGTCCTTTTTTAATGTATTTTCATGTTAAATTACTTATTTACAAGAAACTTATGTGCATATATCTGGTAGACACAAGATTTGAAGTGATGCTTTTGTGTGATTCTTTGAGGAGAAACTCAGTTTTACAGATGTGGTGATTAAAAAAGAAATCAATTAGCCGATAAAATCTCATGTGTCAGTCAACTAAGAATTTTCTTTGGTTGAGGACAGCCCTGTAACATACTGTGTCATTTACATCACCGTACCTGTAGCATTGGACATAGTGATGGAATCCGAGGATCCACGAGGAGTCTGTTCTAGAGGGGCGAGGGGCTCGTTGAAGCTCATGGCATTGATGGGGTTCCTCCTGGTCAGCGGGGGTCTGCCGTCTCTCTGGAATCCATGCAGGCTGATACTCCTCTTGTCAGAGAAGCCCTGGTTCTGGCTGGACATCTCATTGAAGCTCATCTGGGTGCGCAGCTTGTTGGGCCTGAACTCATCCTGGCTGTGGTGGGTCCAGTTCTCATTGAAGGAGTGGCCCCTCAGAGCAGCCATGGGGGTCCTCTTGGCGTTGCCCTGTTCCTTGCCCCAGGAGTCGGGCCTCTTCCCCGGGTTGGCAGCAGTCTGAGCTGGAGGATGAGCGTTTGCGTTGGGATTGTAGCCCTGCCTGGGGTTACACTGAGCCAGCAGATGTATAGGTGCTGGTGTGGGAGAGGGTTCCCGCTGGGGGCCCTCATAGGCAGCGGGGACGTAGGGGTCGTCCCGGCTCATCCACACCTGGTTAAGGCTCGGGGCACGGCTCGGAGTGCGGCTGGGCGTGCGGTTCGGTGTCCTGCTCGGGGTCTGGCTAGACGAGAGGCTCAAGCGGTCCATCTGAACAGAGAGGGGATCAACTTCAACAGACAGACGGTCGGGCATGGGTGGAGGAGCTGACTGGCGGGCCTGCTCGACGTTCCTGCGCTCCTTCTTGCCAATCTTTGTGCTGTGGCGGGATTCACGGGAACGGGCGCTTTGGAAGGCCGAGTCTGAGGAGTCAGACTCGTCTGGATCCTGAAAAGACACAAGTACAATTATTAAACTGCTAATCTGTAAAGAATACAGTTTAAAATATGTATGAAAACCCTTTTTAAAATATATAACGATTCAATACCATAATCATATTTTTGGTTACACACACCTGTCCAGCACTGCAGGACCGTGAGCAGAAGATCTGCCCCTGTTTTGGCAGGAAGGGGCGGCCCAACAGAGAGCGCTTGCACCGGGCACAGCAGAAACACTCCTCGGTTGCGTGCCAGTGCTGCCCATCATACGTCATCTGTCCTTGGTCAATGCCTTTTGTGAGATGGGGGGAAAAAAACAACCATTATTTTACACCATTGCAATACCAGAAGCGAGTTTGTCAGTAAATGCACAAGCAGTCTAGCATTAAGTGCTTAAAGATGGTAATGTGATGGCAGTTATCTCTAATACTACTGTAAAAATGTTACTCTACAAAGTCTGTGCGGCTAATGAACACAGTCCACAGTCTGATTTCAGCCATTAGCCAGTAGGTTAAGCTCAGATATATCATTTTGTGCTGTAATAGAGTAAAAAAAAAAAATGCATTAACGGAGCTTTTTTGCTGCCTAAAGCAACCATTTGTGATTCTTTGCCCAGACACGATCACTCGATATGTAAGATAGACCGAATACATTTCACCAGCTCTGCTCCCCAGCTAGGGGAAGCAATCATCTTTCACAGCTCCCATCTGGATTCAACATGGGAGCATCCTCTGTAACACTTTCACTGTTACTGGAGCTTGGGATGATAATAACCATCCACATCTCACTGCACTGGCTCCGCCTCTCCACAGCTGTGGCTCACAGAGCTGATAAATGGCAATAAATGGCTGATAGAAATTTTCTATGGTGTTAGTGGAAGAAAAATATATCCATGTGTTTTGGTAACAGTTCATACATGTAATTAAAGAAGTGCAGTACCTATGTGTTCTCCACATGCGTCGCAGTACTCTGCATAAAGGGACTCGAAGCAGTTGCAGCAGTGAGGCCGTCCGTCCTTCATGATGTAGCGCTGGCCACCGAGGGTGGTCTGGCACTCGTAGCAGCAGAAGTGCTTCATGTGCCAGTGTCTGCCCTCTGCCTCAGTGCATTCGTCAGCAAAGATTATCTGCATGACCAAGACATTACATTCATCAGCGAAGGATATTCAACACAGATTAGCTGTGGACTTATTACGAAGATGAGCTTTAATGCTGCTGAAGAAGCAAAATCACATTAGGCGGGGATGGTGTTTGGGGTACCTCAGGGCTCCATCCTTGGCCCGTTATTATTTTCATAATATCTTATGTCTTTCCCCTGTACAACAAAAGTGTTTCCTAACCAGGACCATTGGTGTCACTTTTCTAACCTTCTTGGTAAACTAGCGAGTCAAACTATGACCCTTTACTACTGTGGCAGTAAAAACGTGGTTAACGTTCAAAAGAAAATACTTGTTTAGGCAATAAAACCACTTAGTAAAGTTTAGGAAAAACACCATGGTTTGGCTTAAAATAAGTATGTAAACTAAGTAAAATGTAAACAAAATAACA